ATCATACTCTGTCTCTTTCTCTAACTCGCTCTATCTCTATCTCATTGTCTGTCACGCTCCTCTCTATCCTTATCATAAAATTCAAAAACAAAAACAAACCAAATAAAAAACAAAAAGATCTATTTCTCTGGGCTGATTTTCGTCCCGCTCGACGGGCTGTTGTGTGTCTGTTCTTCTCTTTCTCGTTCTCGACACAGGCCTCGCCGCTCGTCACCATCTCTCGACACCGCTCTCGACCTCCTCGTCGGCCTCGCCGCCGCCCTTTGGCATGCATCTATCCGCGGCCCTGAAGAGCGAATACCATCCGCTGCACTATATACGCGCCGCGGGCAATGGCCACAATAGCGGCGCCGGCGGCGGTGGCGGCGGCACGCCCCCCGCCCATGGCTATAATCCGACACAGGCGGCCGCATTGGGCGGCGGCGCCAATACACCAAGCGGCACCGGGCACAATTCACATCACACCATGTCCTATCACAACATGTTCACGCCGTCCCGCGATCCCGGCACCATGTGGCGCTGCCGCTCCTGCGGCAAGGAGGTCACCAATCGCTGGCATCACTTTCACTCCCACACCGCCCAGCGCTCGATGTGTCCCTATTGCCCGGCCACCTATAGTCGGATCGATACGCTGCGCTCCCATTTGCGGGTCAAGCATCCGGATCGCCTGCTCAAGCTCAACTCCTCCATATAAGGGCGGGGCGGGCCTTGTCCAGGCGGCTACAGTTATGCACAGGAAAGAAAGTTCAGCAGCAGCAACAGCAACATTAACAACTACTACAACAACAACTACAACAACTACAACAACTATAACAACAACAACTACAACATGTAAAGGACATCAAAAGTTTTTTTAAGTGTTTAACTCGCGACTTTTCCTACTAACGTGTAAGTTCTTTAACAACACGGAGTTTATGTACATCCAACATATTAAACGATATATAAATCAGATATATATATATGCATATATAACTGTAATTCTTTGCATTTAGTCGCCTCCAAAGTCGCTTCTGTACATTTCTCCCGCTTAGTTCGCAATTTAACCGCCTCCTCAAGCAATAACCCAAAATATATAGAACCGAAGATGCTAAAAATTATAAACATATACTATATATATACTGCGATACCGCAGGCATAAATACAAACTACATACATATATATAAAGTATGCAAATTATATATATATATATATATAAATAACGAAAAAGGAGAAGAAAACTAAAGAAAGTACATACCATATAAATGGCTAGTTGTAAACCTTTTTTTCTTCTAAATGGAATAAAAAGTTAAGAGATCCTACCTAAATTCTATAAATGATGTCTACAAAATGATTCAACTCGGCGCAAAATAAAACACTTGGAAATGGTGGCTCCCCCTCACAAGGAGTTCCTGAACTAAGTATAAAAAAAATAAAACAAGCGAAATTAGCATTGACAAAAATTTTACTAAAAAAACCAAACAAAACGAAAAAAAAAAAAAAACAAATAACTTTAAAGGTTTCTGCGTGTAGTTTCCTAGTACATATATGCATATAAAAATATTATATGAATACACACGATAAATGTACATCATTGAGAAGAAAAAACTATTATCTAGATGTAAAACGCAGGGCTTCTGGTCCGGCCACAAAGGCAGCCACAGTCACCTACTCGTACTACTCATATATTATCACATTAGTCTTTAGTTGGCATACATACAAACACGTCTATATATATATATATATATATATATATATATATATACATATATACATAAGTGTGCACATTTTAATATATATATTTTTTATTAATTTTATCGTATGCTATATAATTATATAACATTTGCAAAGAGTACATACTTTTATATAGATTACTCAAAGAACTACGAAGAAATTTTGATATACCTCAGATGCATTTCAGTTTTATTGTTGATTGATTGCTTAATTTTAATGAATTGTGTTTATATATCCACACACACACACACACACACACACACACACACATATATATATATATACATATATATAAATAAATTACCTAGCTACTATTTTAATTTAAATGCAACAAATGTTTTTAATTAACGTTCGTTTGTTTGTTTGCTGCGTGTAAATGTGTTTTTATTATTATAATTTTTGCGTACGGTTAAAGTTCTTGATAAGTTTTTTTCTTAGACTAAATGCGAACCACTTGAACCACCTCACAATTTTGTTAAACATTTACGTTAAGCTTGCTTATATTTATATAGTATAAAAAAAAATGGAAAACAAAAAAAAAATCACTTGTGTTAAACAAATAAATGTTAAATAAAATTCAAATAATTCATATCAGCAAACTACGAGGTACATTAAACTTATAAACAAGTTAAGTAATTGCTTGTGTGACATTTGACAACTACTAGAACTCAATGCCCGACGGGGAATCATTTCAGCACTATATTATTATAAAACTATTAAACAATTAAATTGATTAATTTTAAACATTTTGTGATAAGCAAAATTATGGTTTGGCACTTATTGAAATTAATAATGGCAAAATTAATAATGATAAAAGATAAATTAAAAAAAAAAAACAACAAATATAAAAATCAATGTGATATTTTCGGCACAAAACTTTACATAACAAAACTAATGAAAAAAAAAAAAACAAAAACAAACAAAAACAAAAAAATAACGAATATAATATTAAGGAGAGGCAACATGGAAATATTTTTGAAATTACATTTATGTTGCTTGCCTTTTAGTTATATTTAGTTAGGACAGTCTTTTGTTAAAATGCGTAGTACATATTATCAAAATTTTTTATATTTCGGTCCAAAGCACAAAATGTATAAAATGATTTCTTAGCTCATAATTTTTAACTACTACTTTATGACCTTTTGTTTAGTTTCGCGCACTGTTCTTTTAAGTTATGTATGTGTGTAAATAAATGAATAATTTTAATTTTATTTAGTTTTACAACTATTCAGTTAACTATACTACATAAACCCACAAAAATTGCAGCAACAATTGAAAGAAAACAACAACAACAGCAACAACAACAGCACCAAATTTAAGGCAATTCAAACAAAACACACACACACACACAGATTTATGTACCAAAAATGTAATAAATATGAAATTATATTAAAAACAACCAACATATACTACATAATATACAGATTTAGATTTGGGAATAACTAACCATAACCAAAGGATTGCTTTTTCGAGCGCAATAGGGAGTATTTTTATATATGACATAAAAAACTCTAAACATATACATATATAGATATGGGTTGGCTGACGGATAATACAAAAATTATTAATAATAAAAATAATAATTTTATTAAAAATAATCATAATAATATTGCTAAAGTCTTGCAGCACACATAAACAAGATTTTATGTAATTATTTTTCACTCTGCATTCGAACATTTTTATATTAATAAAAAGAATTATAATAAAAACGTGCTCCAATACTTGAGCGCAGCCATGTGTCCATCATTATATGAAAATTATGACACAAATGGCAAATATTAATAACAAATTTTTCGTCGTCTACCAGTTTATATAAATCAATTTGATATGCTACACCTACATAAACAAGTATATGCATATATCTTGCAAATTTATTCAAATTAAATCAAATATATACATCCCTAGCTGCATTTTAATGTCGATAAATAAAACCAAATAAACTTTATGACTTATTAAAATAACCCAGTTTCATTTAGGGCACACAATTCTATATTATCAAGCCCTCTGTTGGAAGCACAATTCAAAACGTTCGTTAGGCTTCGGGGTGAAATTCTGGGTACCTCTCTCTTTTTTCAGCCATATTTCTCTGTATAAACTCTAATATATGGAAATAAGTAAGTATTTGCTTTTTGGCTAATATATCAGCAAGTATATTAAACCAAATATAACGACATTGTAAGTATATCTCAAAAGCAAGAAATCTGTAGAAATGTCTATATACATATGTATCTAAAAAGTAAAAGAATTTTTCCTGACTGTCTAATTAGTAATAAACGCACAGCCCAAACCGTATAAGCTAGGAAGCTGCATTCTTATGCCCTGACCCCATTGAAAGTGGGTAAAAAGTGAGGGTATAATGTGCTTGAGCAGATTTATTTTACAGGAAAAAGGGAGCACCGACCCTATAAAGTATATACATATTAATAAACATATTCAGGATGACGAACTGAGATGATATAATCATGTCGCATTCTTGTAATGTCTATAAATACCGAATATGAGACAACTTTTCTAAACTGGTTAACAAATTAATCTGATTAAAAAGATGGAGCCTTGATCCTTGGTATATATACACTTTTGTATTCCATATTGAACAGCTGAAAATTGCATAAGGATCAGACTAAAAACGCCGAAATTAATCAAGAATGCACTTCCCATGCAACGTGTTGGGTAAAGGGAAGAAGAAGCACCGCCGCCACATAAAGTGCATATTTGTATGCTTGTGTTCAAATGCTTGTAACAGCAGCAGCTCAGGGTATTTCAAAGTCGGGCTCTCTCAAACAGAGTACTGTTGTATTAGTTACTTTATGTGATGTATATAACTTTTGTTGTTTATCATCTGGTCGGCTTCAAACGTTTATCCAAAACATACAAAGTCAATGTATTTTATGTTAGGAAATGAGTATTACTCCGATAAAAGAAGCTTTTGGACTCGCAAAATCCCATTTTGCAAAACAGAAACGTGATACAGCCCAATGCTATTTAAAAAAATTTGATTAGCATTTAGAATTTGTTCATTATCATGCCAATCGATAGTACTGACCTGTACGAGTCCATTAGAAGGTTAGTCATGAGAGTGGAGCATTTCAAATGTAGGAAAAACGTGTTTTGTATTCCCGCCTTATTTTCAAATACCGTACATACATATATAAATACTCCATTTTAGAGCTGCCACCTATGGTATGTTGCAATCTGCATATTCAGTATTTTTAGTATCCCGCTATGTGGTATTTTTGATGTTGTCATTGCGGTCACACAGACGCTAAAGTGCGCAGTTTTGGGATTTTTAACAGGATTTGTGTGCCCATATTTGCAGTGTGTGAAAATATCAATGTAAAAATACGAAATTAAAAATACAGACGCATAGATAAAAGAAAACGGAATAACATCAAAAGACGCGGGAATATTTTTATAACTAAACAAATTATAACAACAAAATATAAAAAACGGCGTAAGTACACAACAGAACAGCGAAATAGTGCAGCCAATGCAAAATTCGCGCGGTGCGCTGAAAATTTTGCATAAATTTGTGAAGTATATATATATATGTGTGTGTATGTGTGTGTGTATGCGCGCGGGTATATGTGAGACCAAATTGTGTGTGTGCGTGAGTGTGTGTATAGAAAAAATCCATCTCTTGGCTACGCATTTCACCCCTCAGAGCTGGTGTTGCTGCTGCTGCCGCAGTCGCTGCGCTTGGCACTGGCCATTTATTAGACATCTTCAGGGTCATTGCTGAGCAAAACTGCAGCAGTTGAGCGCCGCTGGGGACAATGCAGCGCCCCGTCGCATACCTCTCGGCTGCTGCCTCCTCGCACTGAACACCCCTAATGACGCCCACGTAATGCAACGCTTGCCTACCGCAAACCACCGCCACTGACCCGTTTTTTGCGCATTCATTGATCTTCCTGCCTCTTCTTGTGTATCTGTTGTCTGTCGCGCGTTCGCGTACAGGTTAAACCGGCTAAGCGGAATGTGAACGACCCTTAAAAACCATATTTTGGCAAGGGAGGTGTTATGCAAGTGCAGTTGCACACACACGCACCGAAAGTGAAATTGAAAATGCGTCCCAAAAAAAAATGTGTGCGTGCCAAAATGCGTGTTTGTCTGCGCCACCGTGCATTGGGTTCGTTTTGGGTCAGGTCACACTGTGGCGCTTGATTCTTTTCTTGTTTTTTGTTGTTTGTTGCGCTCTCTTTTACGCTTTTTATTCTTTGTTTATATTATGCATACACTTTGTTTTGGTTATATATTGTTATTGTTTCTGCGACTGTCGATGTGCGTGTGATAATCAAATAAATAATTTGTGATGTTTGTTAAATGTATCTAGCTACATGCTTATGTATCTACAAGTTTGCTATCTATTTAAGCCATTAATCAAAGACGTATCCTATACAATCTGTGTTATCTACACACCCACATCCACTCGCCATAACGTAAACATCAAATAATGCAAATATATTTTCCTTAGATTTTAATTTTCCGTTTTTGATGCCATAGTTCATAAATCGTAAGATAGATATGTATGTACAGTGAGGTGCGCTTAAATGAATTTTTCAAAAAATTAAATTAAATTTTTCAAACTTGTAAATACTCGTATGTACGTTATTTTATCCTAGAAGGAGACGCATCCGACCCCATAAAGTATATATATTCTGAATCAGTAGAACGATCGGTTTAAAATTAAGTTCTTGAAGGAGCAAATGTGTTTTTCAATAGGTCTGCAAGGAAGAATCGAAAAACTGAGCAATTACGAACTTTATAATTCTTCACATACATCTGCGAAACCATCAGCCAGAGAGCTTTAAGTTTTCGGCACGCCAAAGATGTCCCTTCTTTCTTGATAGCGTTGAAATAGTTTATCCGGTTCAGCTTTGCGTACCAGAAATAGTGCCGGTTCCTTAAGATCATTCGCTGTACGTTAGCAGAGCTTTTACTGTATCCCAAAATAATTTCATTGAATCCCTAGCGATACTCATTGCTATGCTTTTGCTGCTGTTGTTGTTGTTGTTTTTGGCTTGTTGTTATTTCTGCCCAAGAGAAATACTAGTTTTCCTTTCATTTTTTTTTTTTGAGCACACACGCAGTTCGATTTTGGCGGCGGCGGTGAGCGCATCTAGAGCTCGGCAGATCGTTAAGAGGCTCGAAAGAGGCGGAAAATGTTGTGTGGTCGTGCGTGGATTTATTTATAGCATTTGTGCTGATTTTCAAGACTTTTAGCCCCGAAAAACCAAAGCAAATTTCCATTTAACTGCACATTAAAAAGAAAAAAGACGGAAGACAGAATAATAGGAATAATTTTCCTAAATACTTTGATATATAAGTGAAAACATCGCTGGGCCCACAGACTTATATAACTATGTAATTGCTTTAGTCTGGCCGACATGTCTAACAAATTTCAACGCAGCTCTCCGCAAATGCTGGGCGCAGGCGTGGGTATGGACGCCTCGGTAGTCTCCTCAACGGCAAGCAATCAGCCGCGGAAACGCGTCAAACGATGCTGCAGGAACTTTGTCACGTTCATGTGTACCCAGGTGGGCGTGGGCGCCCTCATCGTTTTCTATGCCATCTGCGGCGCATTGGCCTTTATGAACATTGAGCGGGAGTATGTGGACAAGACGGCGGCATATGTCCTTGAGCTGCGGCAGAATTACTCGCAGCGTCTCTGGAACATCACCGAGGAGCATAACTTGATTGACAAGCCGCTTTGGGTGAACGAGACGAATGCGGTGCTTCGTGAATATCAGGTGCAGATAGCGGCCATCATTAAGAATGGCTACATGGGACGCAGTCCGGCGCAAATCTGGAGCTTCCCGGCCGCGTTGATGTTCTGCCTGTCGGTGATCACCATGATAGGCTATGGGAACATGGTGCCGCGTACGCCCTGGGGCAAGGGCTTCACTGTCATCTATGCCACATTTGGCATACCCCTCTATATACTCTACTTTCTCAATATGGGTCGCGTGCTGGCACGTTCGTTTAAGTTTCTGTACCGCTCCATGCACGATTGCACCCAGGAGCGCAGCTACGATGCTCGCCTGGAGGCGCTGGAGAACGGAAGTTCTCTGGGCGCCCTGACGCTGCGCAAAAAGATAATCGTGCCCTCAACGGCCTGTCTGTGGGTCATCATCTTCTATGTGCTCACTGGCACCATTATGTTTGCCAACTGGGAGAAATGGAGCTTTTTAAATAGCTTCTATTTCTGCATGACATCACTGTGTAAAATCGGGTTCGGGGACTTTGTGCCGGGCGCCTCGCTAACGACTGCCGCCGATGTGGATGCAGCCACGCATAAGCTGCGCGAAGACATATCCGCCGATCCGAATGAGGTGTCCGAGCTGCAGCGCATTACCGATCAACACTCCAAGCTAGCCATTAACTTTATCTATATGCTGCTGGGCATGGGACTGGTGGCCATGTGCCGTAATCTGATGCGCGAGGAGGTGCGCGTCAAGCTCAAGGAGATGAAGGAGGATGCCAAGCTGTGTGTGGAGGATACGCGTCTACGTTTTGTTGGCTGCTGTGGCGATCCGCGTGATTTATATGAAAATGATTATTACTAGGTGTGCGAGCGGCTGTCTGTATGTGTGTGCGTGTGTGTGTGCTTGTGTGTAAATGCGTGTGTTTATATTGTGTGTTCTATGGTGGCTGTTCCGCGGGACGCTTGGAATGATCTCTGATGATTCTCATTCCTCCCAGCTCACCATTGATCAATTTTTGCAACTGCAAGAGAGGATACGAAACTTCGAGGGCATGCTTGGCGGCAGCAGCGGGGAGCGTTTATGCACGCCAAGCACTTCGGCCGGTCCATTTCGCATATTCTCCGTGGCCGGTTTTCAGAATCGTGCCAACGACATTGTCTACTGCCCGCCAATTGTGCGGCAGCAGTCGCAACATGTCGACGATTCCAAAGCGATTATCTACTTCGGCGGCGATGTGCAGGACTTTCCGGAGAGCATGGAAACGAATCGGGACAGTCGCGGGTATATGAAGTACAATCTGGAAAATTCTGCGATATTGCTGCGTGAAGCCTTTCCGCGCTCACATATTATAGTCATACGGCCGGTTCGGTAAATAATTCAATTTACCATATTGTCAGTCATTAACTAACTGATGTTATTTCACTTGCAGCATGGAATTCAAGACCTTCAGCTGCTTCGATAATTTCGTACGTGGAAATAATGCTGGTGTGCCAGATCATACGCCCATGAACCATGCGCTGCAACATTTAGAAAAGTGAGTTGAAGAGAAATCACATATGGTTAGACTTCGTCAATATCTATGAAAAGCTAAGAAATATAATAAGTGTTGTCTGGAAATTTGTATAACCTAAAAATGTGTAAATGTATTTAGCACATGGAGGCTACTCCGACCCCATAAACTGTTTATTTCTTGGCCGGCATTAGTAGCCGTGTAGATCTATGTTTGTCCGTCCGACCGACAAATATAAGAGCTAGAAACTTATAGATCCTCCTGTTTCCCACGCAGATCTGTTTATTTTAAATTATACATTGATCAACCTGTTTCATCATATCTCAGAACGTATATATTTTATATCTCTGACTCTCCTGACTGACTGATTGGTGATCAACGCAGAGCTCAAACCGGAAGAGCTAGGAAGCTGAAATTTTCACTGTAGTTACCTTATGTGCAATTCCATCCGCATTAGTGGAAAATCGGGGAAAATTGTTGTATGAAACTTTTTTGTTTACTATCCGATCGGATTTAAAATCATTTTCAAAGACCTTTTTGAGAATTTATTTAATACGATCTTGGGAGGCAAATGCGGGTCAAAGGTGTAAACGTGTAAACGAATGTTATTATACAGCTTCAAGATTCTCGCCGCAAGACTAACATGGGCGGAAACCGTTGATTCCAACACTTTGTTCTTAATTCGATGCACTTGAAACATATTTTTAAATGGAAGTGGGGGTCAAAATGGGTAGCTATCAATTTTCCACGGGCGTGTACTTAGTGGAAAGGTAATATCCCGGCAAGGCCGTGCAATACCCGCTAGTTTATATATATATAAATTTTTATAAGATGCAAGTATACAAGAATAGTCAATTTTTTGAATACCTTCCCCCTTTCCCGCAAATTTGATGGAAAACAACTTACTTTTCGAAGTATCTCAATTGTTGATCCATCTAAACAATCTACTCTCTCAGTTTTTATATTATACTAGCGGGTATAACCCGGCCTTGCCCGTGGAACGTATGTTAAAAATCAACGTTCTCAAAAAGCTTTGAAAATGATTTTGAAACTTATCGGTAAACAAACAATTTTCATAGAAACGTTTTCCGCCAATTTACCAATGTTGCGAGTGGAATTTCCCAAATCGCTGAAACACGTATTCATTATATTCTTATGTAGAGCTTTGAAAATAAGTTTGAAGCAAATCGGACACAACTTAAAACTTCGCACAAAAAATCTTTGAGTCGCATTCCTCCCGAAAAAGTTTGGATTCTGCGAAAAGTGTGAAATACGTCTCAAATGATTTTTCTTATAGATCTTTGGAAACGAATTTGAACACAAAACGTCATCCACCAAATCTTTGACCTCCATTTCCACCAAGGAGGAACTGATTTTTCGAAAAGTGTGAAACACCCCTCAAATGAGTTTGAACAAAGATCTTTGAAAATAAGTTTGGGGCCGATCGGATCGTAAATAAAAAACTTTCATACAACCGTTTTCCGCTAACTTACCACTGTTACGGGTGGAATTTCTCAAATCGCTAAAATACGTATTTATTAAGTTCTTATGTAGAGCTTTAAAACATAAAACTTCGCCCAAAAAATCTTTAAATCGCATTCCCTCCGAAAAAGTTTGGATTCTGCGAAAAGTGTGAAACACGTCTCAAATGATTTTTCTTATAGATCTCTGAAAATGAATTTGAGCGCGAAACGTCACCCACCAAATCTTTGACCTCCATTTCCACCAAGGAGGAACGGATTTTCCTAAAAGTGTGAAACACCCCTCAAATGAATTTGAACAAAGATCTTTGAACATAAGTTTGAGGCCGATCGGAAGGTAAACAAAAAAGTTACATACAAACGTTTTTCGCGATTTTTCCACACTTGCGGGTGGAATTTCCCGAAACCCCGTCTTAACGTGCACCTACATCACATAAGGTAGCTACAGTGAAAATTTCAGCTTCCTAGCTCTTACGGTTTGGGCTGTGCGTTGATCACCAATCAGTCAGTCAGTCAGTCAGTCAGGACAAACAGTTTTATATATAGAGATGTATGTAAGGCTACTTGAGCTTTGGCGTTTGTTTGACTTATTTCATAACGATCTTTTTCATTGTCTCTTCTTATTTAAACGCTCCTGACAGACTGCTACAGAATCTATCGCAACGTCTGATCTCAATACCCGAGAACGAGATACTCGATCAGGCGGCGCAAGCCGCGGCAGCAGCTGCTGCCGTTGCTGCAGCTGCAGCAGCCGCAGCGTTGACGCTCTCGAATGCCACGGTAAACTCAGAGTCTAGCTCAGCCTCAGCGGCGGCGGCGGCGGCCAATGACAGCAGTCAGGAAATGGACATAGACATATTGCAGGTGCAGGAAAATGTTACAGTAGATGCAGATGGCGCCGTGATCTTTCCCATAGTTTCCGCTGGCACCACGGAAACGGGCACAACTGCAAATAATGTGGTGAACAACAGCAACAACAAAGACGCTGTCGCAAACAACCATCAGGAGTCAAACAGCCTACAACAGGAGCAGCAGCAGCAACAACAACAACAACAAACAGCTGCAAAGGCAAACTCAACGCCAGTGAACAATGTGGAGCACTACAACAACACAAACAGCAGCAACGATTGCGCCGCGTCGCAACCGACGCTGCCAACGCAGCCGCAGCAACCACGACCGACTACGCCAGCGGCCGACAGCAATCCATTGTGGTGGCGGGAGAATCTGAATTTGGACAAGTCCAAGCTGGTGCTGATTGGCTTCAGCAAGGGCTGCGTCGTGCTCAATCAAGTGAGTCACATTTGGTGTAAAAATCGCTAACAAAATTGATGACGCTGCCGAAACAGACGAGAATACCCTTACTGACACATTCCATGTATTTGTTGATTATGATTATTATTATTATGTTGCAGTTCATCTATGAATTTCACTATCTGAAAACGTTGACGCCGGACGACAGCAGCATGTGCCGGCTGCTATCACGTATAACAGACATGTACTGGCTGGACGGAGGTCATGGTGGACAGAAGAACACATGGATCACATCACGGAGTCTGCTAGAGACACTTACGCGAATGGGTATGCATTATGCTCTGGATTGTTAAATCACAGCTCGCTTATTTGTATTCAATTTTAGGCATGAACATACATGTGCACCTCACACCCTACCAGGTGCAGGACGATCGGCGGCCCTGGATACGCAAGGAAGAGAAACTGTTTACTGAGATGCTGCGGCGTTTAAATGCGCCCATTACGCGACACTTGCATTACGATAATCAGCCGGCGAATCTGATGACGCACTTTGAAGTACTGCAGGCATTCTGTCAGCATGTCCATTCCCTCAATCAACAGCAGCTTCAGCAACAAGCTGGCAATGAGCAGCCAAATGTGGCCACCAACAATGGCGCTGGCAGTGGTAGCAACAATCTGCTGGATGGCAGCGATGAGGCAAAGTGACAGCTTCAATTGCATCCCCATCATCATAGGCGGCGTTTACATGCGATGCGCAAAGGCGCCGCCGCAGCTAAGCGACAGCAGCTGCAGCAGCTACGCCAACAGCAACAACTGCTGCTCTCAACGGACGCCGCCTCTTCATCGGCATCTTCTCGCTTGGCCGCTGCACTGATTTCATCGGCGGTGGCTCTCAGTGCTGTAACGAGTTCAGCCGCGGCTGCCACTGCGAGCCTTGTAAATAATCATCATCAAAGCCATATGCAACAACAACAGCAACACAGTTTAGCACGCCCTCACTATCAGCAACAGGCGCATTCACAGCAGCACTCCCACAGACACCATCATCACCATCACCAGCCAAATCAATCGCACAACCATCATCAGTGTCGCTCGAAACGCAAACTGCAAAAATTGTATTATACGCTTTGCCGTTAGACTAGTACACCTAATTATAAACTATCTATACATACATCATATGCAATTCATTTTGTTTAAGTGTAGATTAAGTTACCCTCAACTCAACTCTCTCTTTTTATACCTATTATGTAAAGCTAAGTTTAGGTTCAAATATTGTGTCAATTGTTGTGCTGAAACAGATTCTAATTGTATATTTTTTCTATAATTTATGTTTGATGTCCCAAAAATATTTATTTATTTTTTTTATTATACCATATACATTTTTTTTGTCTTATACATATCCCCTTTTCATATTGTCGAAAGCTTAAGCATAAAATCTCGTCAGTGCAATAATACATCTCTTTTATAATTTCGTATATGCAATTTTTTTACTACCCTTCTTATTTAGAACGCGCACGTATTTAAATCATATTTAGACGTTTCGATCAAGAGGAATTTATATGAAAGTAAAAATGTATCCACGCAAACATAGAGCCGCAGTATCCAAACAATATTCAATATAGAAAAGAAAAGAAAAACTCTGATTAAGTATTACTTAGCGTTAAGTAAGAATAACTTAAGTTCCAAAAACCTTAAAACACATAGGCTTACAAATTCAATTAATCTTAATAGTAATGCCTTTATTGTACTTTATTTAATGAATTTTGTAAGATTACAAAAACGATTTTGCTCTATGTATTGTGTACGTAGTTGAACTTTGTACTACGGAACTTTAAGTAGCCCATCTCAATGAAAATAAACAACAATTCTAAAATAACAAAAACGTTCCTTAACAATACACAAAAATAAAATTAAATTAAAAGCAACCATCAAATCCCGGTTACCACTTATATAACAGATAAATGCATACACCCTCCTAAACTTAGCATACACAGTGATTACATACTTTACCTAAAATATCGCTATTAATCTAATAACAACCGTTTCGTACCTTTTAGAATTTGCAGTTCAAAATTGTCAGTAAAAATTATATGGCTTGAAAGTAAAGTAAATATGCTGCGAATTTTAAACCAAAAATGAAGACATTAAATGATAATGTTGATAAACAAAGCATTTAATTGTGCTTGGAATTTTCTTCATTATTAAAATAGAGTTCTATGTAAAACTGGCTTCTGATTCTTGCGAGTCTAGGAATAAATGAAATTAAGCATAAACAATCATGTGAAAGCCTTAAATGGGGGTTAAAAATAAGTGCGGTTTTCTTGGACCATGTCAACCAGTAGAAACAATCAAAACCAAGAGGTCTCGATTGATCATAATGTTAGATAATATTGTGCAGTTGCATTTTTATGATTAATGTGTTTTATTCAGTCTACTTAAACATACCGCCTAGTTATTTTTTTTTTTTTTTTTTAAATAAACTACAAGTTTATCGTAATCGTAATCAAAAATGTTCTACAAAAAATATCTTTTGTGATGCGATTTTAACACTAATATAGTAATCTTTGAGATGCGTATGAGATAGAAGTGGAGTTCTGCGCCCGGTGGTCTGCTTAGCTGCACCTAAGAAAAGCTACGCACATTTATTTTGGCACTTGGCATGTGTCGTCCATTCGTCGCTGCCATCGCAGCAATCACAAACGTTGTCGTTCACCCGAGACGCCCAAACCCAGACGTCCAGGCCACGTCCCGTGATATGTCTTTTTTGGTATTTGCAATAAAAACGCCCATTGGCGCAGGCATTCGTGCTCGGCTCATCGCTGCCATCAGCATCACAGTCGCAATAGTTGTCATTGAGATGGTCAAACGGAATCTCCTTGCTACCATCCAGGCACTTGAAATTGCCTTTATAATTGGGCTTGTAGGAATCATAGTCGAAGAGCCGTATGCCGCTTCACATGGTAGACGTGGTTATTGTTATATAGCTGACATTTACTCTGCATTAAAACGTACCGTATAATCTTAATAGCGTCTACATCTTGGGTGGCAGGCACAGCTAGATTAAGACCCCATCCGGCACCGCCTCCGCCATCAAAGTCATCCACATCCAGCTGTTTGCTGCCCAGAGACTGCATCATTTGTTTGTGTTTGCGTCGCAGCTGCTGAACGCTGGGCAACTGATTCAGCGAGAAAGCCTATTATTTACTTTTGTTTATTAAAATAAAACAATATTTAACACAAAATCGTTTACTAACCTGATAGGCAATGAATGAGATTCCAACCAAAAATATTAACAGCAAAAACATTTTGGATTTGTCCTTGTAGAATGGTTTGTAGTAGATATTCTCGCGTTTCACCCATGTTTTGCGCATTTTAATTTGTTTTTTAATATTTATTAAGAGCTCTTAACTGTATTGTTTATTTGTTGGTCAGTCTGCGTCAGCGATGTGGCCAAATAATGTGCATAAAAACAAATGTTAACCTTTATGTAAATGATTGATAATGAAAGCTTGGCTTCTCTACGTATTGTTATGCGGTTTCTCTGATTTTTTCTAAACTTACACATTCATTTGTTTAAATTCTTGGTCTATTAGTTAAAATGTCTCTTAATTATTGGGTGGCAGATATATTGATATTCGTATTGATAGCAATCTTAAAAACAAAATTTTTAAGTCATGTCAAAGGGTATCTAGTAAAACTTCAGGCACACATATCGGTTAAGTAAATCAGCTGATGTTCAATGTTGTTATTCAGCTGCGTTTGTTTTCAGTGTAGAAAAAGATTGCATTTCGCGATTAGATGTTTTTCAACACTGCAAAACATCAAAACCCAAAGAAAAATATTCATGCAACACGAATATATATAATGGAATTGGATCAATAAAGTACGAACAGCTACCATTAAAATTATCCACTAATTGGATTGTTAACAACAACCCAGCTGACGGGAAACGCACTGTTGCGGAAGTCAGAAATAAACTGGCAGACGTGAAGAAACAAATACACAAGCAAAACAAAAACATCACAATGAAGGCAACGGCAACAAAAACGCGGCTAACAAGTCTAACCGAGGACATCTCCATAATACCCGAGGATGCGCCATTTCGTGCCCGCCTGCACTTCCTGTTTGCCCAAATCGAAAAGGAATTTGAGCAGCTGTACCTGGAGAACCTGAATCGTGAGTAGACTCTTCTGAAAGAGTGCGCCAGCCGTATGAAAAATGTTGTTGATCTTTGCTTGCAGTCCAGGATAAACTCGAAATCGCCACCGCAAACACCAAAGATTCGCTGACGCCTTACGATCAACGTTCCGCAGCGGGCGGAGTCACCACTGGTTCGCTGGTCGCCACAGGCAGTGGTGGTGCCTCATTGGCAGCTACGCCCGCCACACCTTCGGCTCCTCTGAGCGACGAAATTGGCGCTAGCTTGCTGGCTGCCGCTTCCAGCACACACAAGAGTCTCAAAGCCAAGCTGAGCAGCGCAACCGGTGGCAGCAAGGTAAAGGCCAGTAATAAGATCAAAGCGCAGACCAGCCGTATTGTGTCCAGTTTCAAGGCGCAGACGGTGGTCAGTTCAGTGGTGCGCGAATTTGGTGGCCACAAGGATGGCATATGGCAGGTAGCCGCCAAAGTGGGTCAGCCCATTATTGGCACAGCGTCAGCCGATCACACCGCCTGCATTTGGGGCATAGAGAGTGCCCGTTGCTTGCTGCAGTACCAAGGACACGCAGGATCCGTCAACTCAATTAAGTTCCACCAGCATCGAGATCTGGTGTTAACAGGCAGTGGCGATGGCACTGCGCACATTTGGCAAGCAGCGGTCAACTGGGAAGTGCCCAAGTGAGAGATTATAGATTTAAGAAAGTTGCACAATTATTAGTTCATGCATTTATAGAAAGGGGCACTCGTCCGAGGAGGAGCTTGATGACAGTGATGGCCAGCTGGAGGATCGGGACCGAGTGGACACATTGCGTACGCCGCTCTGCGAGTTCAGTGGACCTGGTGGCCATCTTTCAGTTGTAGTCGCTGCAGATTGGCTTTCGAGCATGGACCAGATTATCACAGGCAGCTGGGATCGCACTGCAATATTGTGGGATGTGGAAACGGCACAGCCCCTACAGCCACTAACCGGCCACGATCATGAGCTTACCCATGTTTCGGCACATCCAACGCAGCGTCTGGTTGTGACCGCATCACGTGACACCACCTTCCGTTTATGGGACTTCCGCGATCCGATACCTGCAGTATCCGTCTTCCAGGGACACACCGAGTCGGTCACATCAAGCGTTTTTGCGCGCGACGATAAAGTCGTCTCGGGTTCAGATGACCGCACTATCAAAGTATGGGAGTTGCGCAATATGCGCTCAGCCCTGGCCACCATACGGACAGATTCATCCGTAAATCGCTTAGCTGTCTCCAGTGGCGGTATTATAGCTATACCCCACGACAACCGACAGATTCGACTATTTGATTTGAATGGACAGCGTGTGGCGCGTTTACCGCGAACCAGCCGCCAGGGGCATCGTCGCATGGTCTCGTCCGTCGCCTGGGCGGAGGAGCCTCTACTTAATTGTGACTTGTTCTCCTGCGGCTTCGATCGACGCGTATTTGGCTGGTCCATAGTGTTACCAAAGGATAATTGAAAATTACTTAAACGTTGAGCTGCATTCCAGCCACAAAAACCATTAAATCGCTCTTTTTGAAGTGGTTACACAAAATCGGTTTACTCTCGAACACATCATTTACGTTTTACTTTGTTATCTCAAATAGAAACGCGTGTATTTACTTAAATCGTAGCGTACATCAAGTATTTTGCGAACATAAACAACTATTTTAAATGCGTTCTTTATCCATTGCATGCAACTTGCTTTATGCCAAATAATCGCGATAAACATATGAATATATATACATATATATATATATATAAATAATCATTGTTATTCCCGCATATACTAAATGTGAAATGTGTAGATAAGGGATCGAAAAAATCTCCATAACTTTTAGCTGTGTTTTATTAATATCGATCATATATACGATTTATAGTAACTTAACTCTATATGTCTAAGGCATGGGTTTAACATGAATGTTAGAAGAAAATATAAAAATATTTAATAAAAGTCCATATCCACTACGAATAGATCTAGACTTTGGGATAATAAATCGATTGATGCCGCCCGCCCTTCACAGCTGGGCAAACTTTAAAACCAGCAGGCCAATGAGTATGGCCACTTCCAGAATGATAATTAATATTAATACAATCTTGTTGTAAAGAACTTCACGGCTCAGTTTGCGTATGATGATCCGTGACTTTGACAATTCCTGATCGGCATCCTCCAGGCGGCGTGTGGTGCGCAGCAGTGATTCACGCTGTTCACCGAGTTCTCCGAGCACCTGTGTGTGGCATATGAAAAAGATTATTAGCCAAGCATATTTTTTAAATGTTTCTTTTTAGTTTACCCCAGTCCCAATGTTTTCCGTCTCGATGGCCACCTGATTGGAACGCTGTATGCTTTCGGTCGTGCGCTGCAGGACATCGTAGGTGTTGGCCACCACCTGTTGATGGCGGTGCTCGTAGTCGATGCTACCGCTAGGCAGTTGGGTGTAGCCATTATAGGACATACTTCGGCTTTGGGCTGTAAAATAAGATTAAATAAAATTTGTTCAACAGTTGAACAGTTGCACACAAGTCTACAAAAAAAATGTAAATAGCATTCCGCCAGCAATTATCGACAACCCACCACAACAACTGTTAAGTGTAGCAGCCCTGGTAGCATGAAACATACAAACACTCATACATATGTATGTTGTGCGTTTAAACTTAACGTACTTGGTTGCCAAGACCCATTTGTTTAGTACTGAATTTGAACGATTTATAAGACTGACATAACCAAAACACATATAATCAATATCAACTTGCTTATCAAGCCCAGGGAATTACTCTTTTGACGCATTGTTAATTATAATTGATAGTGTCTCTTTTTTAAAATTATACGTACATATGTATGTATTTGCAAACACACAAAATAAATATATAGCACTTGAGGGCTTGGACTTTTGTATTTCGATTTATGATAAGAGAAAAACTTGATCACACGTATCTACATATATACAGTTTGTGTGCGTGTGTGAATTTATATAAGTATGCACACATATGAATATTTAGCATGCTCGGAGGCCGCCATACACCACACAGTACTTCTCAAAGGAGAGCCAGCGAGTGACAGAGAGAGCGAGAGAGTGAGCGTGCGCTACTATTGGCTTCATGTTCGCCACAGCTGAATACTTAACATCAAAAGCAAGTGAACGTCGGTGTTAACCAGACGTGTGCTCTTTTGGCTCCGTCGAGATCGTTTTAATAACCTATACAGGCGCAACGGGCAAAACAAGTTCTAAATTTAACGCACGTTCGCTTGGGGAATCTTGAATATTTTGTATTAAAAATCAGTCTCAAAACTGCAAAGGTAAGCAAGAAGACGCGCAAATAAAACAAACCGATAAATTAAGATAAAACAACAGATAAAATCGTAAGACTGTCGGGCAAGTACATATGTACATATATTGTATGTAGAATATATACTATGTACATATATATAAATTCGCGTGTGACTTCAAGGTGATCTTCTGTTAAAAAAAAAGACAGCGTGCGTACAAGGCGCCTTAACAGTGCATGTTTAAATGAAAATTAAACAATTACTGTCCCCGCACGTGATGCCTACACAGAGCAGCAGGCATCATTTGTGGGCGCAGCTCTGCGACTCGTCATGGGACTAATGTCAAAGTAAATGCCGCGACACCAGCTGACGCCCGCCACCTGCCCCCGCAGCGAGCGTAACAGTTAGCTGTAGACGTGCTGAGTATCTATTCCAGAGTATCTGTGGTCTCTCACGCACGTTAGTCAGCAGTTCGCGTTCGTGTGTGTGTGTGTGTGTGCGACCAGTGGCGTTACAGAGCTGAGTTTTATGCAATCCCCCATATCATGTGACCTGCACTTTTCTCACAGAACATCTTTAGAATGCGTGTTTGAATGTTTTTTAAACAATACTTAAGTAGCTCTCTTAATAGAAGTGCATTAATTTCAATTGAATTATGATTTATGAGCCGATCATAAATATTCACAAGCACTTCCATCAATCATTTTGATTAGAACTACTGCCGATCGTTTGTATATATTTGCTTATTCATAGGAAGTCTATAAAAGCTCTAGATTCAGACTCTAGGTATTTGAAGTATTACACTTATTAAGGGTATTAAACGCTTGGCGTGTGCTCGAGTCGTAGTCCCCACTTATATAACTTTGGCCTGGTTATCAACGTCTGGGCGGGGCTTTTGAGTCTCTTATGTTAAATATTTTCCTCAAAGTTTATCATTGCTCTTATCGCAGGCATAACATTTGTATTTTAAATTTTTTTATCAAAATGCTTGTTTTGCTTCATAGATAATAGTTATGAAAAACTGTCAAAAAATTAAGCACAAAAT